TTGAATGCAGTGATGCACTCGAACATAGCAAGTGTTTTAACATAAAATTAAAATAAAAGATTTAGTGCATGTGACAGATTGAAGATAAAACCATATAAGCAGCTTTTATATAAAAGCTTTCCATTTCCTTTTAATCAACAAAGAACATTTTTGTTCTATTATTGAATTTATGACTATGACAGAAGAAATTATAATTAGTTATCGAATATTTGCATGCCTACCCAAATTGCAGCAGTTTTTGTCAGAAACAATGATACCATAAGAATGTATCAGAAGCAGAAAAAACAAATACATATGTCCACCTAATGAGTCATTCCCACTCCCCACCTTCAGACTAGCAAACAAATTATGTAGAGAAAAACTAACAAAAGAAAAGAGTCCATAGGTGTTTCTTATTTAACATGGGGAAAAAAAAATTCAAAGCAATTATTGACTAAAAAGAACAAGTACTCAATGCAATCACTCAATTTTATAATAACCTGAAACAAGAGAGAAAAAGTATTTAAATTTGTTATCTAAGCACATTATTTGACCAAACGCCACTCTGTTTACTCAAATTCAAAATTGAAAAGCTTAAAATCTGTAACGTCCAAACAAGGAATGAAAGAGGACCTACAACAATGCATCATTCTCCTGCCTTTGCATGATTGGAAGTCTGTGCGCATCACCGGTCTTTTCCATTCCTCCCTATCAATCCCAATCCCAATCCCAATTCTTCTTAATAACCAATCTTAATATACTTACAAATCCTACCTAGTTTAAAAATCATTCTATCAATCAAACACTCTGTCTAGATTTAAATGAGCCAACACTACTTATTCTACTTTAACACTCTCCCGGGCCATCAGCGGAAGGATTGAAAACAAATCGGCAAAAAACATTTCTTTCAATTTTGTCATGTGTCCTAGAATCAGCAAGACTCACAAAGAGACTACTAGCGATCCTGACAAGTACGGCAGAAGGTACCGTGTGACAACTCGCAACAACCACGCGCATTGACAGCCAGGTGAGATGTGAGGCAAGTTGCAGCCGTCGCACTGTGCATTGGCAAAAGCGATTGTATGCAGCCCAGTTCTCCCAAGTT